GAGGGGTCCGTGCGGGGGTCAGCGGAAGGGGCCAGCAGGATGGTGAGCGAGGGTCTGTCAGTAGGAGAGGTTCAGTTGAGGGGTTAGAGTGAGGTTCTCAGTGGGAGGGGTCAGCAGAAGCGCATCAGTGGGGGGCGTTAATGCGAGAGGTCAGCAGGAGGGGTCATTGAGGGGTGGTGGGGAAAGGGGTCTGAGGGGGCATTGCAGTGGTGTCACTCCATGATCCCCCGCGGTGTCACCTGGGTCCCAGCACCGCCCCTCAGGGTGCCTGGTCTGCAGGGATGGTAGCAATGGGCGGGGCCTGCTCAGTACCCACCTGGGGCCCCGGTGTGCTAAGGCTGAGAAACCTAGGGCACAAAGAAAACAGGAGGAAGGGAGACTGCAGGCTGCCATCAGGAACTGCGTCCTCCCACTGCAAGGGCCCTTCTCCACCAGGGCTCTTTCTCCCTTGTCCTGTCCAGAGCACACCCCTTCCTTGACCTCACTTCTGGAAAGCATCTCTCTTGGCTCTGTGTCAGGCATGTTCCAGATGCTGCAGATACCTCCATGAGTGGTCTACTGAGGACAGAAAGTGTGGTGTGACAGATAGCATGCCACTTGGACATGAGTGCTGGGGGGAAAATAGAGCAGGGGTGTGGTTTCAGAGTGGGGTGTCAGGAAGGCCTCTGGGGAGCCAGGCCTGGTGAGGTGCAGGTAGAGGGGCTCTGGCCTGGGGGAGACACGTGCTCCTGAGACCCCTGGGTGACTGCAGAGCAGCACGAACCCAGTGTCACTGTAACCCAGCAAGTGTCTTAAATGTTGGCAGGTTGAAGAGATTGCTCGTGGATGCATGGATCCCATGCCGGCTATTAGTGGCCTGATCATGGTGATTTTGTTGACTGGGCAGAGGGAAAGCCTGATGGGAATTCAGTAGAAGAAACTGAGGACGTTGAGTGCAGACCCTCTTCTGGGACTGGGAAGTGAGGCAGTAGCTGCAGGATGTTAAAAGATACAACACATCCTACACAGCAGACTTGTGTGCTGAAGAACCTGGACAGTTTGAGATTGAAAAGTGAGTAATAGAACACAAAAACATAACTAAAAATGGGCCAAAGGCCTTAACAGACACCTCACCACAGAAGATGCAAGATGGCAAATAAGCACATGAAAAGATGCTCCACAGCCTATGTCATTAGAGAGATGCAAACTGAAACACTGACACTTCTACACACCTCGTGAATGGCCCAAATCCAGAACACCGACAGCACCCAGTGCTGGCCAGGACATGGGGTGGCAGGAGCTCTCACTGCTGGTACCGATGCGGGGTAGTAAGCACTCCCACAATACCGTCTAGACTCATCTCGGTGTTCACCCAAAGGAGCTGAACACACGTCCACACAAAAACTACACATGGGTGTTCATGACTTTACTCATGACTTTACTCATTTACAAAGCCTGGAAGCAACCAAGATACCCTCAGTAAGTGATGGATAAGTAAACTCTGATACATCAGACAGTGGGATATTCAGTAATAAATATTCAGTAATAAAAAGAAAAGGTGTCAAGACAGGAAAAGGCATGGAGGAGCCTTAAATGCACAACACAGAGTGACAGCAGCCAGTGTGAAGAGACCACATGCTGTGTGATGCCAATTCTGTGACATCCTGGAAAAGGCACAGCTATGGAGACATGACAGTAAGTTGGGTTGGCAGGAGCCGGGGGAGGGATGCACAGGTGGGGCCCAGAGGGTTTCGGGGCAGTGAGACTGCCTGTATGACACTATAATGGGGGACACTCATTACACATTTATCCAAGCCCATAGAAATGTACAACACAAAGAGTGACCCTAATGTAGACTGTGGACTCTGGGTGATGGTAATGTGTCCATCAGTTGTAACAAATGCCCCATCCAGTGCGGACCTTGACAATGGGGGAGGCTGTGCATGTGTGGGGGACAGAGCACATATGGGAAATTTCTGTACTTTCTGCTCTTTTTTGCAGAGAACATAAAACTGCTCTAAAAAAATCTACTTAAAAAATGAATGGTGCAGGAGGAGGAGGAAATTCATGCTGAAATAATATCCTTGATTAGGCTGTGTCTTGCACTCGTAGTCTGTGTGAGAAACACACTCACTGGTCCAACTCAATAAGTGGACACAGAGACAAAGAGAACAGCAGAGCGAGGCTTTAATGACAGTCTTGCACGATCAGGTGTCTGGTGGGCAGGCACACCTGAGGCTTGGTGCTAAGTAATAATTTATTCCCTAGTACGTGAGTCCCTCCCCTGGTTCCTAATTGGCTGAGTACTACAGGGTTCACATTTTTTTCCCCGGATGTCGCCTAAGCCAATTATATCCACATTGGGCCTTCTCTTACATTTGTCTTAATTTCATTGGTATGTTTAAAAAACTCAAACAGGTATAGCCAGGCCCTTAGCAATCCCCCCACCCCACCCCCACTCTCAGCCTGAGCAGGTTCCTGGCATATTTTCCACCATGTGGCCCTTTGTTACTACCTTACTGTCAAAATATTTAAACCTCCTGGGAGGAATAAATCACATTTAGGTTTTATGCTTTTTCTAACAGTCCTCTCCCTCCACATTCCTGCTAGCATACGAGCCTACCCTGGCCTTTCTGACCTTACACCACAATGTTCCCAGAGAGCATGTATTTTCCTCCAGCCTTGTTTCTTTAGCCTCTTTCACCCTAAACTTCTCAATGCCAAAGTCCACTCCCCTTTGTCATCTTCAGTGGGCTGGGGCCTAGTCTCTTCCACACCCACCTTGTGGTGACCAGTCCCAGGGCACGGGGGGACCTCGGTGTCAGCAGTCCCAGGGCACCCTTACCAGCATCCACGTGCCACCCCACCTCCCAGTGCAAATAAGTTTATGATTACACCACCCAGTAGTGTCTCCTGTGTGCACTGGTGTTATGTCTAAAAAAAACATGCCCACTCCTTAATTATAAAGATATCTGAGTTTCCCTGAGTTTTTGCTGGGGAAGGTGTTGCCTCCGTGGGGATGTGCTGACTGATTAGGGTGGTGATCGCTGAAGTCTGGCTGGGCTGTGGCAATTCCTTAAAATAAGACAACAATAAAGTTTGCTGCATTCACCAGCTCTCTCTTGTATGAATGATTTTTTTTGTACTATGCGATGCTGTTTGATAGAAATTTACCCACAGAAGACCTTCTTTCAAAAAAAAGAGTCCTCTCAAACCCTGCCACTACTTTACCACTTAACTTTATGTAACATCCTAAATCCTTTCTTGTCATTTCAACATCTTCACAGCATCTTCATCAGGAGTAGATTCCATCTCAAGAAACCACTTTTTTTTGCTCACCCATAGGAAGCAACTTCTCTTCTGCTAACATCTGATCCTGTGAGGCAGCAATTCAGTCACATCTTCGGGCTCCACTTCTAATTCTAGCTCTTTCACTGTTGCCACCATGTCTGCACCCAGGACACAAGGAACATGTATCCCTTGGGTTCACCATCTCATATGCACATATGTTGTGGTGCCCAAAAACAATGACACTGGTAACATCAAAGGTCACTCATCGCACATCACCATAACAAATATGAAATAATGAAAACATTTGAAATGTGAGAATTACCAAAATGTGACACAGAGACATGAAGTAAACAAATGCTGCTGGGAAAATGGTGCTGGTAGACTTGCTTGACAAAGGCCACCAGAAATGTTCATTTTGCAAAAAACTGACTATCTGTAAGCACAATAAAATCAAGTACAGTAAAAGAGGTAGGCCTGTAATCCATCACATTTACAAGTTAAAGAAGAATCATATGATCATATCAATAGATGTGGAGAAAGCATTTGACAAGATAAAAAAAAAATCCAAAGTTTGTGATAAAAACTTACCAAACTAGGAAGGGAGGGGAATATCTTCAACTTGATAAAGAACATCTGCAAAAACCCTACAGTTAACATCATGTTAACCCTACAATTAATGGTGAAAAACTAGATGCTTTGCCATCAGGAACAAGGCAAGGATGTCCCTCTCACCATGCCTTTTCAACATTGCACTGGAAGTTCTAGCTAATGCAATAAGACAAGACAAGGAAATAAAAGGTATACTGATTGGAAAGAGAGAAATAAAACTGTCTTTGTCCACAAATGGCATGATTGTCTATGTAGAACATTTATTTCCCTGCTCAAGATCCTACCTAAAATTTCATTGTATATAGAATACAGTTCAAGTCTTGAAATGTCTTTAAACCACAGGTTCACCCTCCAGACGTGTTCGTGCTACTGTCCCCCTTTGTTCCAGTTACTCTGTTCACAGTACAAGGCCCTGCACCTCTCTGGGTCTTCAGGCCTGCCTTTCTGCCTAGAACCTTTCTCCCCATGACTGAATCACATTCCTTACCCAGGGTTCAGGCAGAGGCCACCTCTGAACCCACTGAGTCCCCTTGCACTCTCCTGCTGGCACCTCAAACCCTGCCAGTCAACCTTGTGGCTTTTTTTGAAGCACTGGGACTCAGTCAGCCAGAGGACCCGAGGGTGGGGAAGCAACTGTCAATCACTGGTGATGGAAGTCAGACAAAAAATGTCCAGCCTTCCAACCCTCAAGCAGTGAGGTGATTCTGAGGTGCATTCCATACAGTACCTTTGGGGCTCCCCAGCCAGACTGAGCCTCTGCTGTCCCCAGGGGTGGCCAGCTTGGTGATGCAGCCTATCAACTCTCCCTCCCTCCTGTCTTGCTCTCCCTCTGTGCGGTTTCCCAAATACACTGCCTGCACCCAGATCCATGTCTCAGGTCCTGCTGATGGAGAACCAGGAAGAAGATGGCTGGTGGCTTATTCATGATGTCCTTACAGAGTTCCTTCCTGAACCCCAAGCTACATTAGCTGCCCTTTTAACATTCTCCACAACACCCTGTATCTTTTCTTCAGAGAAGCAACATAGTTTGTAACTACATGTTACTAATTTACTTTAAAAAGTGACTTTAGACAGAACGTTTCATGGCAGGTTCTGTCCGCTTCACTCACATTCTGAGGACAGAATTGGCACTCAGTATGTTTTGGCAATCTGTGAATGAGTGAATTAGTGGATTTCAAAGAGGTGGAAGGATGGGGACAACTATGGAGAGGAGGAAAGCAAATTTTAAAATAAAAATGTTGATCCAGGGTCCAGATTTTTGGTTGAGGTTTGGCATACACAATTCATTGGTTTTGACAGTGGAGACAAATCGGAAGGTGCTGGACATGCTAAGGAGAAACGCGGTGTGGGCTGGTCGCTTCGATTCATCTTGGATCCACTTTGCTGTGAAAAGAAACTACAATTGATTAACATGGGTGATTATATGAAGAAAACTTATGGGGTGATTATATGAAGAAAACTTATGGAGACGGTGGTTTTGTTTAAAGATCTTGGAATTTCTGGAAAACACTAGCTTATCCCACTCCAAAAATTTTTGACCACCCGATTCTCTTTTCCTGTGCTAGTCCTACTCATTTCTCTACACCTCTTACCCTGGTGTTCCTCCTTTTTCTAGCAGCTTCCAAGTGCTTTATCCCATTTAAACCTTCCGGTAACCCAGTCGGGGGCAAGCAGTCCGCCCAGCAGAGGCTCACCAGGCGGGGCTCCCAAGCCACGGTCAGGAAACAGCACCGGGACAGCGCGGACGACGCTTCTCCGGCCGGAGGAGCTCCTTCCCTGGGGCAGTCCCGCCGGAACGGCCTCCCACGCCTTCCATCGCGGGTTTTCCGGACCGCTCTGGCTTCCGCACGACGACTCCGGTTCCCTCGGTGTGCGGTGTGTGCCATTTCCTTGCCGCTGGCGGCAAGCACACGAAGGCGCCCTGCCGCTGATGGTGCTCCCGCCTCTCCGCCCGGGCTGCCGACAGAGGGCTGTGCCCCGGGCCTCCGTGGTGGGGGGACCCTTCCTCGTGGGAGGCTGGGTTCAGCGCGCCCACAGCGGGAGGATGGGTAGCCCAGGGCACCTTGGCGGGGAACGTGTCTTGCCAGCACACGAGCCCAGCCACAGGAGCACTTGCGTGTGGAGCTTCCCGGGCCCTGCCCACGGACCGCGTACCGATAAGCCCGCGTCTGTCCCCGGCCCAGGGCCGACCGCACCTGCCCAGGTGTGCAGGTGTCCGTGGCATCCCCGCTGTAACTTTCCTGCGCTTTGAGCACCTGCGCGAGAGGCGGTGCGGACCGCGACCTCGCCGGGCTCTGCTCCTCTCGCCTAGCGTTTCTCGCCCACCCGCGGCTCAGGGCTCAACAGGTGGGGCCGGGCGGGGCGGGGCGGGAAGAGGCGGGCCGAGTGGCCGCGCGCCGGCTGGCGCTCCCCGAGGCGCGGCCGGGCCCCTCCCCAGCCGCCGCGCGCGCCGGCCGCCCCCCGGTGCGCGGGCCTCCCGGGCGCCCACTGCGCAGGCGCCGGCCCGGGCCCCGACCGAGCGCCGGGCTCGAGCGCGGACGGAGCGCGCGGCGGCGCCGGACCGGCTGGGGCGCGGGGCGCGGAGGACCGAGGCACAGAGGATGGCGGACGGGGCGCGGGGCCCGTGCGGCTGCCCGGCCTGAGGCCCGCTCACCATGTCGCCCTGCACCTGCTGAACGCGGAGCGCCCAGGATGTCCGCGCTGAGGAAGGTGCGAGCCGCCGGGCCGCGGAGTGCGCGGGGACGGGGCGCGGGGTCAGGCTCGGCGTGGGGGCGCCGGGACCTCGCCAGGGCGGCCTTTGCACGGGGTGCCAGGCTGGGGCGCGGCGGCCCTGCCCTCGCCGGGAGGCACTCCTCGCTGCCTGTGGCCAGGGGCCCGGACCCTGTGCGCCGGGGGTGCGGGTTGGGCGCGGAGGGGCGCCGCGGAGGTGTGACGGTCTCCGCCCGGCCCGGCGCCTGGGGGAGCCGGCAGGGACCGGGGAGGGGCTCCGGCCGGCGAGGGGTGCACGCGGGCTCCGCCGGGCAGCCGTGAGGGGACGGCGGTGACCGGCGGCGCACTGCGCCCCCTCCCCTGCCAGGCTCAGGTGGGGCGCGCCCCGGCCTGGCCGGAATGGAGGTGCCGGTAGCCCGGGCTGAGCGCGGGGGCGGGGGCGCGGGGCGCGGGTGCTTCTGCCGGGGCGCAGCGGCTGCCGCGCGGGGAGGGGGTGGCCGCCGCCCCGCTCTCCAAGTGCGAGCGCGCTCGGGCTTTTTTAGGGGCGGTTGCTAAGCGAGGTGGCGGGCGCAGGGTTTTGTAACCAAGCCTCCCCCGGCAGCGGCTGTTGCTGTTCTCGGCTCGCTCCTGACGATCGGGGAATAGCGAGGATGTAATTATTACAGCCTGCGCGCCCGGGGCTGGGGGCGGCGGCGCGCGCTCTGCCGGCGGGCCGGGCGGGCCGGGCTGGGGAGGGGCCTGCGCTCCGCTTTCTCGCGCGCAGGCTGCGCCCCAGCCGTGCCGTGGAGCAAACCGGACGGGGCGCCAGCGGGGTTCTGGGAGGCCAGCGGGGCCCGCTGGGGGCGGAGGGACGCGCCGGCGGTGTGCGTTGGGAACTCCAAGCAGCCTCTCCTGGGCTGGTCCACACTTCTGAGTGGATGCGACTCCAGCCGCTTCTCCTACAGGGGGCGATTCGGGTCGGTGCTTGGGATTCGGATCTAGGCTGGATGTGGACGGAAACAAAGCAATCGAGGCCAGGTCCTGCGCGGGCTGAGAGCGGGCTTAGGGCTCCGTGCGCGCGGCGCGCTGCCTTTCGGGCCTCGGGCCGCGGAGCGGGACAGGGCTCCGGAGCGCTGCATCCTGGGCTCCTGGACTTCTGTGCCTGGACCCGCGCGCGAGGCGCCCCGTGGGCGGTGAATGGATGGGGACCTGGTAATGCCCGGCTGAGGGGGCTCTCAATTGCACATGGTAAATTAGCTACAGTAGTTACAGGAAGCCAACTGGATTCTCCGCAGAGCCCTAGGCACCCGTGCACGCGTCCACAGGGACCCGGCCCCCGGCCTCAGGGCTGACACCAGAGCATCCTCCCGTTACCCCATGCCGTGGAGGGACATGAGATCTGGGGCTGACGTGCCCTGCAGCGCGCATTTTACTTCATGTTCTCGGTGAAAAGTAATAAAACACGTACTCAGACAAGAAAGGGTGAAATGATGAAGAAATGGTAATTTTTGGCAGGTCAAGCTGATACTCCGGTGTTTAAAAATGCCATTAATCAGGATTTTCCGGTAGCCAAATTGTCTTATGCAGGCGGCTGGGTGACTCACAGATTTGGCTCTAAGAGTAATTGTAGAGTGTGTACCGTTTTCTTTTAGACGGTGTGACTTTTTCATCACTGGAAGAGGACAAATTAGAATATTTTCTACCCCACATCTGGCAACATGAGTAGCAGGCGGCGGGGAGCGCTGTGCTCGTACACATCTGGCTGTGAGTTATGGACGTACTGGTCAGAATGGTGAAGAAATAGGCCCGTTTCAGGCACCCTGCCCCCTTCTCTCACCACTTCAGACATCCTGTCCAAGGGCAGGCATTCCGAAAATGTGGGTAATCTGTCAGGGGAGCCGTTTTTTGTGTCTGTGAGCCGCCCGACTCCTTTTTAACCCTCTGGGAATGTCCTCTGTTCTCCGTGAAGAAGTCAGCAAGCGCTCGACGGCAGGCATCCTGGATCCGTCGCGTCAAATCCGCGCATTGCGTTTGAGGTCAAAGAGTAGTGAACACAAGAGACGCTGCGTCCCGTAACCCAGAGGGCCGAACCAAGTCATTACAGTCCAAGTGTTCTCACCACAGAGGTGTTTTCTCAGATGAGCCTTCTAAGTCAGCGTTTCACTCTAATTATTTATATCTCCTTTCCTTCTGGAGAGCTTTGCACTTACAGGATAATTATCCCAGTGGTGCTGGTTGAAACAAAAACAAACGTATTATTTGCCAGTGTTTTGTATGCTTTAGGCTACTTGTGATGTAGATGAGTTAATAAAAATGTTTTTATTTGTAAAGAATTCAGACAACTTTGCATTATTTCTCCTGTGTCATAAATATGTCCTCCTATGAGAATCCATTCATTGCATCTCCTAGTTTTGGCCACTTCAATTTTAGAATTGGTGGAAATCCCAAATTAAATATTCCGAGCAAAAAAGTGCTTTGCAAAATCTGAGTCACATTGAATTCTGGACACCCAGAATCTGACCGATTCTGAAACTAAGAATCTAAACTAAGGGATTCTAATATTTTAAAATTCTTAGAGGATTTGTTACCTGTTTTTAACAGAGCATCTTCCATAGAATGTATACACGATGAAATTAAAGAAATGCTGTAATTCTTTTGTAACTATGAGGAACACTTCCTGATTACCCAAGGAATGATGATGTACACTTCGATTACAGATTTTAAAGGGAAATTAGTTAAATGTATTATTTATTGACCCTTGGAATGGATATGCCATGGTCATTCACTGGATAAAATAAAAATAACTGTGATTCATCATTTTGGACAGATGGGAGTCTTATTTAGAGCATTGCCAGCATGTTGGCTATAAAAGAATCTTAGGCTACCATACAGGAAGTCAGTGGGCAAAGCATTTTATGCCGTTAAAAATCATTCTTAATCAACCACAGTTATACGTACAAGTCATTTTCATCTTCATAATATAACCGTATTCGTAGCTGATCGCCAACTTTAAAAATAAGATTTGTTGTTCCTAGGTTCTGTGTGTACAGGGAGTGAGCACAACAGTTCATGTGTTCTCTCCTTTTTTGGGAACTTTGGCAGCAGCAGGATGGGCTGTAGGACGTACAGGTTCCAGCTGAAACCCTGCACCTGCTCTCCTCCGAGCTCACCTCTGCAGTTGCTTGTCCCCACCCAGCTTCACAGCAGTGCTGGTGACAGAACTTGAGTCAGTGTTGATCTGCTTGGCGGAGGCAGCTGGGCTTCACGTGTAAAAGCTTTTCTTATTCAGCAGCCAGCGGGGGTGAGGGGGGTGCTCATCTTGTCCCTTACTTGCAGCCCATGGGGGTGACTGCCTGTTTTTGGCTGTTCTGACAGTCCCACAAAGAACATCTCACTATTAGGAGAACGTGCCTGTCAGAATTGTTCCAACAGATTTTCAAGCTGGGTGGCCACCATGATTGTGCTTGAACCGACTGTCTGTCTGGGTGGACCTTCCTGGGGTAAACTTACTGGACCAATTTTACTAGCACCATCCAGTCTGAGGTCATCCTTCTCGATGACTATGTTGGTCTCCTTCGGTGGGTCACCCTGCACACATTCTGGGTTTGGAAAAATTGTGACATTTAATTTCAGCCCATAATCGTATGTGCCTCTGGGGAAAGGAAAGCTTTAGGAAGTGAAGCTGAAAGGATGTAGGTCCTGGAGGCTTCACTGTCGACTCACAACCTGGCAGGTCGGTCTCTTTGGAGGGCAGCACCTGGCTGGGGATGGAGACCACTTCATCCTGCCACGTGATTGAAGCCCTGGGTCAACTTGTGCCGGAAGCTGTCATTGCTTTCAGTTATGTAAACACAGAATCACTCACCCCACTTTGAACTGGATTTTCTGTTTCTGTGATCAAAATGGGATGGATGGGCTTTTAGTTTCTCTGAAAATTACCACATTAAAGCTGTCTGTTGTGGGGCAAGATTGGCCCATCTTCAGGTGATAATTTTGTCCTGTAAACCTTTTTTTGTGTATCTGTAGAAAAGAGAAAAATTTAAATCAGTCATTGTTAAAAAGGAATAAACCCACCCATCCATAAAATTGTAGCATGAACTTGCCAAAGTAACTGCACATCTAATTGGCCATTGTCTTCAAAATGACAAGCCATACTCTGCACAGAAGAAAAACATTGAAATGATCCCCAGAGAGTGGATATTTAAAGCCCGGTAATATAACATATTCTCTCATGTTTACTGAAAAATTTATCCCACTATTTTGGCATGACATTGCCCAGCAGCTTTATATTCTGGCCTCACAGGTTGTGGGTAAGAGTGAGTATTCTGCAGTCAGACTTTGGGTGGCAAGTGGGTCTGGCAGGTTTTTTAGCCTGACTGTACCTTAGTCCCTCTTCACTAAGAGAGGGACAGATGCAATATTGCCTCCATAGGGCTGTCGCAGGACTAAATGGATGTCTGTAAAGCATAGAACAGTGTATGAAGTAAATGTGTATAAGTGTTGACTATTTTTATCATGAAGAAATGAAAGTGGTTGCCAGCTTCAGCCATCCTGCATTGCAAGTAATCAAGCCCTTCTCTGAATTCCCATAAAACTTAGGTAGTTGTTATTTCTAGTCTTATTTTACTTATTTGTATATGTTTTCTACCTCTTTCCAAAAAGTTTTGATCCACCTTAACTATAAAAGGGCAAGGGCAGAAATGTTAATGAAATAGAAATAGAGCAAGCAAACGTGATAACCATGTGGGTCAATATAATTCTTTGAGCATTAAATTTGACTTCAAGTTTCCTGGTAGCCAAGTCAAACAAACAAACAAACAAACAGAAAACACAAGCCCTCCCAAGATCCCCTTATGCAGTGGACATTGTATCCTCACTTTTCAGTGAAGAAAACATTTTCCCTGGGGCTAAATCATAAAAGATGTTTTCATGGGAGGCTGTACGTGAAGGCTTTGGGGTGGGTAACACAGAACTGCTGGACAAACACAGAAGTGCTTTTCATGACTGTGTCTCGTATTCAA